CCCCGAGCCCGGGCACTCAGCATCCCCGAGCCCGGGCACTCAGCATCCCCGAGCCCGGGTAGCCAGCATCCCCGAGCCCCGGCATGCAGCCCTGCCGCCGGGAAGGTTCGCTCAGCCGCGGGCGCTGTCCCCCCGCCGCCCCTGCTCGGAGCCTTCTCGCGGAGCCGTTCGGACGCGGGAGCGCGGCTCGGCTCCGCTGCCACCCCGGGCTGCGGCGGGGGCGGTCGGAGCGGGCACCGCCGCACTGACGGGCAGGGAGGGCGGGCGGCGGAGCCGGGGGCGGCAGCTCTTCTGCGGGCACGGGCGCTCCCCCAGCCGGGGCCAGGCCGAGGGGCGATCCCCCACATCCCCTCTTGCTCCTCCGCCGCGGCGCTTGTGCCGGCGGGGAGCCCGGCGGAGGGAGGCAGGAACGCATCGCCGCTCGGAGCTGCCCGGCCCCGCTCCGGTCCCGTCCGCACCCCGAGCCCCGGCTGTCCCCGCTTCTCCCCAGCCTGGGAGCCGCCCGCCGGGCAGCACCGCAGGGCGGGGGGCGCCGGCGGGGACCGGGGCCGCCCCCCGGCGAGGCGGCGGAGCGGCCACACCGCCGCTTTCGGGGGATTCTCCGAGAGGAGCGGGCAGGGCGGCTCCGGGAGGGGGAACCCCCCTCGGCCCGGCGATTCGCGTCCCCGGCGTCGCTCCTCCTCCTGGCGCTGATGTCAGCCGCGGGGAGGGCCGGCTGGCAGCGGCAGAGCGGGGCGCGGGCGGCCGCGGCAGAGCCCAGCCGGAGCCGCCGCCGCCGCCGCCGGGACAGCGCGGGCTCCGGGGCGCCGCCGGCAGCGCAGCCCGCGCCCCCAGGCCAGCCGGGCCAGCTCCGGGCCAGCCCCGCCGGGGCCCGGGCGAGCGGCCAGCGGCGGCGGCTGCCCCGCGGGGAAGCGGCGCTCCGGTGCCCGCAGCCGCCCGGCGAGGGAAGGGCAGCCGGCCGCGCTGCGGAGCCGCGCCGAGTTCAGAGTCTCTCCGCGCAACTTGGGTTACGCGGCCGGACCTCTGCGGACTGGCGCGGGGCTTCCAGGGCGCGATTGCCTTTGCATCGTCTCGCGGCTGCAAAAGCAGATAATTGACTAAACCCAACAGAAATAAAACAAACTCAGGCTACCTAAAAGTTAGGATACCTTTTTTTTTTTTCCCCACCCCGTTTCTTTTACAATTTCATTCCCTATGTGGAAGTCGTGTGTGATTCGCGCTCGGCACACTGCATGGGAAGAAGCGGCTAGTGCTTCGGATCGAGGATTTGCTGTTGCAAAGCGGTCTAAGTTCCATGCAGTGGGGCAGCCTTCACTACTCTAAACGCCTTGATGATGTGCTGAGGAGCCCATGTAAATTGGCATCTTGTGCAGAGAAGGCACTTAAGGTAAGAAAGGGGCTTGGGGAAAAGGGGGATTTTTGTATCCTTTTATATGATATCTTTTGTCCGGCATCCCGCCCCCCCACCGTTGGACGCAGAGCCTTAGCGGTTCATCCAGAGCAGTGTGGATAGGCTGGAACGGATCAAGTAAAATGAAAGTCTGCTCCTGTGAAAAGTGCACGGAGCTCACAAGTGATTGCAAAAGCTGTATTTATTTTTAGTCTGGTAGCACAGCGCGGTGAGGATGTGTGCTCACGGCGCGGACAGTGAGCAACTCGCCTAGCTCAGGAATGAGGAGATCCACGGGCTCAGCCTCCGATGGGCAGTTTGCATTGGCTGCTGCATTTTGTTGAATGTGTACCCCCCGCTACCTCCCTAGAGCATCCCATCAGCCTGTTTGATTTGTTGTTTTCTGCAGATATAGTGTCTACTATTAATGAGAGGGGGTGAGGGGTGCGAAAAAAAAAACCGAAAAAAAAACCCCCATATGGAACATTTTATTGATGTGATCATAATCCTGTAATGGAGATTGCATTAAATGAGGATTGCATCAAAATGCCAGGCTGCTGTGGGGAGCAGAGAAAGCAAAAACTATGCTGGATTGTAAATGAAGTTCTTTGATTGAAGGATTTTTTTGAACCATGAAGGGATGTCTGTAAGCTTAAAGTTGCTGTATATGTGGAGTACTGGAATGGGGTGAAAACCAGATGAAGCTGAAATGTGTTTTAATTGACTCAAGCTCTGGATACAGTTAGAAATGGTTAGAGGCATTGCAGTGATGCCCGGTGAATCCTTGGTTTCAGCTATGGAGACCACAGAGAGGCAAGGAGAGAGCAATACACAGAAAGAGAAGGAGAGAACGTGATGTGATGGTGTGGGGAAGGGAAGGATGGTTTGTGACTTTTGCCGTCGTGGTACAGATCTTGCAGCCTGCTGGCTTCAGGCAGAAACCTTGCGGGCGATGTGGAAGGCAAAGGATTTATCTCTTTACTCTCCTTTTGCAGCCTGGGTGTAGTTGCCTGTAAAGTAGCTGCGAGGTGCATGGCAAGAGGCAAGCAGGGACCTATCTGCCCTTCTCGGACACTGACGGAAACTGAGGTTGGGAGAGATGCAGTCACCTCAGCTCATCCTGCCTTTTTGAGCTTGAGGTGATAATACATTTTGAGTAATTGTTGCTGCTTATCTCAATCGGCAGAGGAGGGGAGAAGATGTTCAAGTTTATTGAACCAAAGCAGACCTGAGGACGGTAGATACTATCAGCTCAGCCTTGCATTCTTTTTGCGCTCAGTTGTATTCTGGCATGGAGAGCTGAGCCACAAAGAGCACCTTCTTCAAGCCTCACTGAAGGGAAGCCTAAAGACAACAAAAAGATTAAGTGCAAGATAAATTGTAACTTTTTGCTTGTCTGCAGTGGAAGTAGCATTGATCTGCCAGATTGCACAGGTCAAAAGAGGTAAGAGAAGGAACAAAGTTATTTCTTTATTTATTTCCTAACATTCCCACACACACAAACAAAGTTGGCGTGCAAACATCCCAGAGCGCGGATGCACCATGGCTGAGCACGACCTAAGAAACTGACGTAAACAGCAGAGAAATTAGTGTAAGAATTCTCAGCAGTCCCCATCTGTAACTGCAAAAGAGTTGGTTAAATGCTAATTTGCAAACCAACCCTGCATAGCTGATGTTCTCAGAAGGAATTTGTTCTCCCATTTGTGTACAGAATCTCAGGTAACATCTCCAGAACCCAGTCTCTCTCTTGCTGTGTTTTTGGCATAAAGTTGAGACGGAAACACTTATTTTAAATAAAATGAAGAAAAGCAGTATAAACATGTTGAATTCCTCTTAAGCATTTTATTTTGGCAAAAGGCAACTTTTCGTGAATTGTAAGAGATAGGTTTAGAATATTCATGGCTTAACTCCAGGGAGCTTAGTGTTAGCTCAGTAGGCAGAAGGTTCTTCCTCTAAAGAGGTATCTGGAAAAGATGTTTAAATTTCAAGCCATATTCAGTAGAGACTGTTGGTTTCCACATTTTAAAATAATTTTTTTTATGCCTCTTAGGGGAATGATGCTTAATCTGGGCAATAAAGCAAGTATTCCTAGCTTGCTTTTTTAATGGAAAAAGCAAGCAGCGTGCTCCAACTGTACTTCTGTATGTCCAATACTCCAGATTTTACTCTATTTTTTATCAAATAACAGCTGTGGAAGAAATGTTGTCCTTTGAAACCATGGTTATCCATGCAGACCTTGGTGTGTATTTTTGCTACAGAAGAACTCTACTTCATGGCTGCATTGTTCATTCTTGAAGCATTTCTTTAAATGTGAGCCTCACTATAGTTAAAGGATAATTTATATTCAGTGTAGTACTGTCTGCACAGTCGAATTGGCTTTATACATCACAGCCTCTGCAAAAAAAGAGATCAAAGATCTGAACCTGTGGTCCTGAATTGCATTTGTATTCTAGGTGGACTTGAGTAATCTCATAGTGGAGCCATTCATGCTCCCAGTTAGGAGTATGTCAGCCTTTCCATTAAAACACCCATTTGCTTAGAAATGTAATAGCTGGTTTTAAGGACGGGCTCCAAGCTTAAATTGGAACATTCATACAGTAAAAGGAAAAAAACAGATATCCTAAACAATCAAGTCTAATAGCATTTGGTAGTGCTGAGTTTATAGAAAGCTTAGCAGGCAACAACACCTGTATGAAAAATTGAGAGGTTAAAAGGGAAAACGAAACCAGCAAACCTTTCAAAAGGCCCTTTTGGATCCAGGTGAGTGCTTCCACCTGAATTTTAAAGGACCCTGCGGTTGTTAAACAGTCAATAGGACTTTTCTTAAAGGAGGACAGCACTGACTCCAAGCAGGAATTAGTCAGATCTCAGTTCAGTTTCACACCCCATCAGAACTAATGCTTTTGGCACCGATCCAGGCAGTTCTTTGGAGGGTTAAGTTGCAAGAACAATAAACTCCAAACCTTGTATTGTAACCAGTGAAGTTTTCCTTTCAGTGAGCCAAAGAGAACCGCTCACTTTTGAATAGTGCTGATTGTCTGACCCAGGTGTTGGAAGCCTTTGGGGGATGCTGCTGCTAACGCTCACTTGCCAGGTTATCCACCTGAAAGAGCCAGCCCGGTAATCCTGCTTCCCATCAGCTGACTGCCAGCGGGGACAACGCGGAACCCTTTTGTCTAGAGCATCCCAAACCTTTTCCCGAATTACAGATACCTGTGGATCCAGGAGTAGAGTCGCTCATGCTATGTAATGCCAATGTTCAAGGAGCAGGTTCAAGATGCAGCTTCCTGTATTCCAAGTGTTTTGGACTGGATGGAATAAATGAGTGTTGTTTGCCATTTACATAAAAATTCTTTGGGGAGATTAATATTCTTCTGTCCCAATTACGTCTTTCTGCAAAGAGTTTCTGAGGAAATTTGTGGCCGTTGTCTTTCTTTTGTCAAGTAACAGTGACCATATCTGTCTTGGGTCTATGAAAATTCATCCTCCTTGCAGATACACAGGGAAGTAATATTATGTCAGGAAGAGTTAATGTGAAAATTAAAATACAGATGAAAAACACTGTGGGATTTAGTGGGCATAATCAAATCATGGTAATTTTGACAGAGAGTAAGAAACTGTGTCACAATTAAGTATTCTTTTCCTTTGAAGTCTGTTGTCATTGTGTTTGATGAAATCCTGTTGGAAATTATTTCCGATACTCTTAGAAAATATATGATTTCCCATAGACTATGCAAGATTTAGCCTTCTTGATACCACATGGTCTGAGCCAAATCTTCCTGCAATCTGTGAAAAAATTTCTAGTGGAGCAGAGCCTTCCATAACTGCTTTTTGCCTTACATGACGTGCATACCTTAACTTTTGCCAGTCCTTCAGGAGTTCTACATGCTCATGTGGTATTGAAGGCATTGCTTTGAAGCAGTTTTACTTGCAGGGGTGGCAGAACTCAGCCAGTTTAACAGCAAATGTTTTTCTAACTTTTCAAGGAAGCTCTTCTTAATGTTGTTTTCCTTAATTTAAGTTGTAAAGGGAACCTAAGTAACCAGATCATCAAAGAGCCAAATGTGTTGTTAGAGAGACAGGTTAATGTTGAAGTCACTGGAGACTTCCAAATTCAATAGTGAAATTACAAGCAGAGGTGCCCACTGTCTTTAAAAGCCATCGCTGGTGGGTTTAATGTGGCAGTTCCCTGTGCTCAGAAACTTCTGCTTCGTCTTCCTGCCAAGGGAACATCTTGCCTTGTGTTCTACTTTGATGTGATATGGTTGTTTTGGGGAAGATTTTCTTCCTCCAAGCCAGTCTAGAAATAAAGATATCACTGGTGATGTAGTCTGTTTGCATACCAGTGTTTATCTGTTACATCCTTAAGGACATAGTTTTATTATGGTTGTAGGACTTTAATTAGTAATTATGTACTCTCAATGCTGTCTACTGAAGTAGCAGGAAATACATGCTAAAGGGGGAAAAATCAAGTATAAGTTTATAATGCTTATGCACAGCATATTTCATTTAACCAACTGTGCGATCTTGTTAAATAAATAAATGTATATGTATGGAAATCTATGATCTGCTGGATACGTGCTCTCACACGTGGGCACACTGCAGCCACATGCACTCATGTTTCCAGCTGTAGTCCCTGGCACAAGACACAGGCATGCCCACCCCAAGGAAAGTATGAAATGCCTGGGGGATGACTGAACTGCATAAAATGGAGAAGGGAACAGTTATAAAAAATCCACTCTCTCCCTCCAGCTTGTAACTCAGATTTCATTAGGTCACTTTTTTAGAAAATAATCCTCCCAAGAAAGGAGGTTTCATGACTGAGTTTTATCTCTGCTAATGGATATAATCATTTATACACGTTTAGTCATTTCTGCAGGTTCTGTGATTGCTCTTGTAGCTATAAAAGTGTGTATCTCCCTGTGTCCTGACAAGTTTGAGCTGTGTGTCCTGGCAGGCACACGCTTACCTGGATCACTGCTTTTCCTTGGGTGTGA